TATCTTCCGATGTTTCCTTTTGTCTTCTGTCGTTTCTTTTCTTCTCCCTCTCTATCCGCCTCATCCTCTTTGAATTTGTAGAAAAGCCTGACGTGGTTTATGACAAGAGACCATTAGTGAAGGAAACTTGTGGATGCGAGTCTTTTGTCACCTATGACTTTTTATTTTTTTAATATGAGGCAGATCATAATCTCTCTGTTTTTTTTTTCCCTTCTTGCTAATAGCAAGTCATAATCTCTTGTTTCACCTGTATATGGATGAGAGCTTCTGAGAGGAGGCCATTAACTTAGGAAATTGCTGTGAGTCTTTGCCTCCCCTATAAAAGCGCACTTCGTCTCTTTTCAGGGTTTTCAATCATTTCTTACATTTTTATTTCCTCTTTGGTGTAGGTAAAATAAAGAAAAAAATGCCTCTTTTTTTTTTTTTTTTTGGTTTCGGTCATTTGTGGTTTTTCTTGGTTGCCTTTGATGCAGGTTATTAAGCGCTCCTCTTCTCTTTTTTAGAGTTCTCAATCATTTATTCCATTTTCATTTCTCTTTGGTGTAGGTAAAATAAGAAGAAAATGCCTTTATTTTTTGGGTTTCCGTCATTTGTGGTTTTTTTTGGTTGCCTTTGATGCAGGTTATTAGTTCTTTATTTGAGTGAGTCTCTTTGCTGGACGATCGCTTTTTTTTTTTTTCTTGTTGCCTTGATGCAAGTTTTGATAAATTGTATGGCCTGTCGTTGTTATTGCTGTTGTTGCTGGTGTTTTTTGTTTTTTGCTTTTGATAGACGATCATGAGTTTTTGACGGTTTTTTCCTTTGGAAGTTCATATGAGGGATTCATCTTCTTCGCCAAAAGTTTTTTTCTAATAATATTTGCTTTCAAAACTCTAGAGTCGCTTGTACAACTACTGATGGCAGTTGACTAGATGAAAATCCATGTCACATTCTTCATTTGTGATATTGAGATAATTGGTCATCTTTTTGTGATGGAATTCCACGACTTTTTCAAATACATTAATTCTGACAAGATTTTTGTAAGAACATACATTTTGGTAAGTTGTCTAATAACCCTTAATCTATATTTACTTTAAAAAATTACCATTACCTGAGAACAGATGATTTTTGAGTTGTTAAGAAGTTGGTTTTAGATTCTATTAGTTTGTCTGTTAGTAGTTTCATTTACAAGTTTTTTAGCC